CACTGTTATCTTTTTCAGTATAATTTGAAAATAATATATTTAAAGAAAGGAAAGTCTTAGATATAGTTTAGTATTTCTCACTCAATCTTTTCTTTACCAATTTACCCATAAAGATAGCTTGAAGTTGGAATACTTCTCCAGTGATTTGTCCATTGAGATTGGGCCTCTGTTTATCTTTTTTTTTTTTTCCTTTGGAGATAAGAGTCTCACCCTGTTGCCCGGGCTAGAGTGCTGTGGCATCAGCCTAGCTCACAGCAACCTCCAACTCCTGGACTCAAAGCCATCTTCCTGCCTCAGCCTGCCAAGTAGTTGGGACTATAAGCATGGCACGACATCTGGCTAATTTTTTGTTGTTGTTAGAGACAGGGTCTTGCCCTTGTTCAGGCTGGTCTCAAATTCCTGAGCTCAAGTGATCCTCCCACCTCAGCCTCCCAGAGTGCTAGGATCACAGGCGTGAGCCACTGTGTCCAACCTGCCTCTGTTTATTTATCTTTGAGCTTCCAACATTCTAGCCCTGCCACCCATGGGTAGTCTGTTACCCTGTGTCTCCCTAGGCCATTTCAGCTTATTCAGAGAATACTTTAGTTTGCTTTTTTTTCCCTTAACCATTTTATTAAGATATGATTTACATACTGCAGAGTTCACTAATTTAAAGTGTACTCGTTTGCCCTTTTAATCTCTGCTTTATGAGCTTCCTGTTCTCTTTTTCCACATGTCACAGAGAAAGAAAACTGATAACTCAGGTACCTTGCCGTAGAAAACATGACTTTTCTCTCCAAATAGTAAATGATACTTTTCCATTTTATTTCCATTTTTCTTCCTCCTGTGTATTTAATGGCATTATTTGGCATTAGCTATAACTTGAATTTCATCAGAAATGCATTTACTTCCCTCGCTTTGTGCTGATATTAATAGCAACAGCTTGAGATAGTAGTTTAAGGTCATCAGAAATGATTTTTTGAAGTTGTTTTCTTTGAAGGCCTACATTCTTTATTTTGAACAGAATACTTTGAAAAAAAGTTGTTTTTTTTTTTTCAGAGACGGGGTCTTGCTCTGTCACTCAGGCTGGAGTGCAATGGCATGGTCATTGCTCACTGCAGGCTCCAAGTGCTCAGTACTCAATCGATCCTGTCGCTTTAGCCTCCTGAGCAGCTAGGACTACAGGCGTGGAACACCATGCCCGGCTAATTTTTTAAAAAATTTTTTGTAGAGATGTGATCTTACTATGTTGTTCAAGCTGGTTTTGAACTCTGGGCCTCAAGTGATCCTCCTGCCTCAGCCTCCCAAAGTGCTGGGATTATAGGCATGAGCTACCATGCCTTGTCCAAAGTTTAAATCAGGTTGAGAAGAGAGGTTTAGAGGGTTTTTTTCTTTGTTAAATTCAACACATGTTTCCAAAATATCCATTTCTGATTGCTATTTAATGACTGTCTTAGTCTATTTTATGCTGCTATAACAGAATAACACAGACTGAGTAACTTATAAACAACAGAAGTTTTTTTGGCTCACAGTTCTTTTTTTTTTTTTTTGAGACAGAGTCTCACTCTGTTGCCTGGGCTAGAGTGCCATGGCGTCAGCCTAGCTCACAGCAGCCTCAAACTCCTGGGCTCAAGCCATCCTCCCACCTCAGCCTCCCAGAGTGCTAGGAT